GATCGAAACAAGTGATAGTCAGAGGGAGCAACGTCTGGAGAATACGGCGGGTGAGGTAGGACTTCCCATTTCAACGTTTCCAAGTATGTCTTAACCACTTTCGCAACATGGGGTCGAGCATTGTCATGCTGCAAAATCACTTTATCGTGTCTCTCGTTGTATTGCGGCCGTTTGTCTTTTAATGCTCGGCTCAAACGCATTAATTGCGTTCGCCTGTGATTGTTTCAGTCGGTTTTAACAGCTCATAATACTGTTGCGTCCCTGCGGGTCGTCTAAGGCGGATATTCATGAATCTGCTGTATTCGTCTCTGGGAGAACGTTGCTAAGCGTTGTTGTTAAACAACGGCGGACATCTTGGGTGAGATCGGCCATCTTGAGTCTCGCGACGGATGTCACTCCGGGCGGACATATTTGAGATACGATTACCGTTATTACCCGTTCTGTGTTCCTTGTTCAATTGTGTGTTCTGTGTTATTATTAAAGTTCCTTTTGTTCCTTTAAGTCTTTTCTTTAACTGTAAATGAAACATTTATATTAATATTAAATGAATCGTTTATATTAATGTATCGTTTATAAGTAATATATATATTATAAGAAACGTTTTATATTAATATTAAATGAATCGTTTATATTAATAAGTAATATACTGTTGCGTTCCTGCGGGTCGTCTAAGGCGGTTATTCATGAATCTGCTGTATTCGTCTCCGGGAGAACGTTGCTAAGCGTTGTTGTTAAACAACGTCGGACATTTTGGGAGAGATCGGCCATCTTGAGTCTCGCGACGGATGTCATTCCGGGCGGACATATTTGAGATACGATTACCGTTATTACCCGTTCTGTGTTCCTTGTTCAATTGTGTGTTCTGTGTTATTATTAAAGTTCCTTTTGTTCCTTTAACAGAGTGTTAATCATTTACATCACGGTACGCGAGTGCCGTTTGTGTCGCGCGTCTTCGAGTATTATCAAAGTCGACGCGCGGACGCAACAATACACTACGCCGAGCTGGTCCCACCAAATACAGAGCATGACCTTGGAGGCGTGAATATTCGGTTTGGCCGTCGACGTGAAAGCATGGCCGAGATATCCCCATGATTTTCTGCGCTTGGGGTTATCGTAATGAACCCATTTTTCATCCCCAGTCACAATGCGATACAGAAATCCCTTCCGTCTTTGCCTTTCAAGCAACTGTTCACAAGCAAACAAACGCCGTTCAACATCTCTCGGTTTCAACTCGTACGGCACCCAATTTCCTTGCTTCTGAATCATTCCCATGTCTTTGAGGCGTTTTGAAATTGCTTGTTGAGTCACCCCCAATGATCGTGCCAATTCTTCTTGACTTTGACTCGAGTCTTCATTAAGTAATGCCTCCAATTCTGCATCTTCAAAAACCTTCTCTCTTCCACCGCTATGCCGCTCTTCGATGTGAAAATCACCGTTCTTGAAGCGTTGAAACCACTCACAACACGTTCTCTCTGACTGGTTAATACAATATGTGATTATCTTTCAGTAAATAAAAATATCAAAAATAAAGTGTAAATTTGATCAGTGTGGAAAATGGGTCATCGAATGAGGAAATATATAAAGAGATCTTTAAATCGTGATGTTAGTTTTAGTAGGATGATTCTGTTTCTAAATCAGGAAGTTCATTAATAAAATCTTGGATCGCCTTCTCGAAATTATTCGATTCAGAAGATTGAGGAGAAGTAGCAAGCGAATTATTGAGGACAATTATTGATAATGAGGAGAATGATCGCTGGAAGAATGGTGATTCAGGGAAAGGAGAAAGGCGTGCGGGAGAATATATGGGAGAGTAGTTAGGAGAAAAATGGTAGGGGGAAAATGGAAGGGTTGTAGATTGTGTGTTTGAATGTATGATGAGCTAAGCCTACTACTAGTAATCGCTAGATTAATTCGCGGGTGCTCGAGTTAACGCCTTCCGAGTCCTGCGATAGACTTGATTTGTGCGACTGGGTCGTAAGATTTATAATTTGCCCGATTTGGTTTTCACTACGGAACCAGTGCAAAATAATAAGATCTCTATCGCATATGAATAAAAATTAAATGATTGCGGCTTACTTTTTACTTACTGTTATCTCGGAAAATAAAGGGGTGGCGATTTTTTCTACGCTCTGGGTCGCTCTGAGTTTGATGGTGTGTTATCGTGTTTGGTTCAGTTCTCCGAATGACGAGTGAAAACATTGGTGGGAACTCAGTTGCTCACTATGTCGTGAATGACTGACGAAAAACTGAACGACTAAAAATGACTGACTAACTAATTGATTGACGAAAAACTGACTGACCGACTATGCGAGTCTCGCGAGCTCTTTTTTTATAGTTCGTCGATTGGTCAAAGGTCCGTTGAACATTTTCCGGCGGACTTTCGCGCACGTGATTCTGAGATAGATAGCAAGGGTCTTATTTTTCTATGATTTTTATCGATATTGATGCGGTTATTTTTTATTAGATATTTCGTAAGGTGATTTCATCCTCTCTTCGCTGTTTCTTTGTTCTTTCACTGGAAAATTTTAGTGTATGAGATATCTACTGATATTTGTAATTAACTTTTATTTAGAAGATCGGCGTAGTTTTTTTTTGTTTTTCTCGCGGTTACTCATGGATATATTTACTGATAAATGATAAAATGATTAAAGTATTACGTGGTGCAAGACATTCTATTTATTGAAAGACTTATTTTATTGCTAATCGACGATCATTGCTGCAACTTCGCGGAAGGAGGGAATCGTGAAGTCGGCAGGACGTATCAATAACTTTCTAATAAACAACGAGCGACGGCTAAAATCTTTTGGATATTACTCAGGGTCATGACTTTTACAACATATGTCAAGGTCAAGGTCATTGAAGATAAGTGTCCTATTCTGCAGTTTTACGCTTTAAAGTTTATAAAATATCGATATCTAGCATTTTTGATATAAGATTTTGATTTTCTTGATCTTCAGTTTCCACATATTTGTTTTGAGTAATTTGATATTGTTCTTAACGATTTATGAACATTTCATCGTCTGAGGTCTATAATTATATGGTTCCAAGTGAATTTGTAACTTTCCGCGTGAAACGAGAGTCAGCTCACATCGCCTGGTGCTTCAGATGCAAAACAAAGTCTATAATTATATGGTACTATAATTATGGTTAAATTATGATTTTATAATAGATTTGAAAGTTTTCGCATGAGAATAATTTTAATAATAATAGATACTAGCAGTAAAAAATGATAAAATGTATTGCACAATCAAATGTCGGACGAATAAGTATCATTGTGAAATAGATTAGACGATGTAATGTCACAAATGATAATATGTCAGACGATGAAATGTCGCAGACGATGAAATGTCAAACGATAAAGTGTCAACGTACAAATGTCTTACGAACAAGTGATAGATTGCGAAGTAACCTGATATCGTAGTTTTTCATAATAATATTATTTAAAAAACGCTTGTGTTACAGATATTCATAGGTTCTTCCTTGTTATGTTATAATTAAAGATCAAAATTTAATTTTAATGAAATATAATAATCAGTTCTTATATTTTATCTTATTTTAGAAATAACATACCTATCAGTCAAAGGCGTGATTACGAGACGCGGACAATTACCGATGTACTCGTAAGCATACTTTATTGTCGAATAGATAAGTCTGACGTAAACATCGTCCTCCCAGTAATAACGAAGTTGCGCTAACCATTCAAAATCCATCTCGTTAATGATCCGTTTTTCGATAAGAGACTTAACGACGTCCATTGCGTGTACATCGGTGGTGATAAGAGCGTTCAATGTTGTTCTATTTTGCTTGGACAGTTGTCCTGCAATTTAATCGAAATTTTTACAAACACGTTCTTTAAAACAAAGAATTTAATATAATGTAATGTTTATTATAATATCACAAACCTCTAACTAGATTGACCAATTTCAAGATTTCAACCTTTAATTTCTCGTAGAGTGATTCCATTGCAAAGGGTGCATGATCAACTAAACAATTTTGTACTTCAAGACTCCAATAAATTTGCGAAACGCACAGAACAACCATGCCAGGCCAAATAAGCACCCATGTTATTCGTTCGTTTATCTCGTAGTCCAAATAACTTAAATAGATTTCCTCTCTTACTGATCGTACCATCTGTTTCTCAACCTATAGCATTGAATTTTATTCAAATATATTATAAAAGCAATAAAAACAATTTTTTCTTTAAACGCCTATGTTAATACTCGATATTAAAACCCTAAAATCTAGTTTGAATTGTATATTTTACTAATGTAATAAGATTACAATAAAAAAATATAATATGATCGATGAGGTGATACAGTTATTACCGGAAACCTTGTATATACAGGGTGAATCATTTTAATGTCTCCACCTAAATATCTTTATTTCCAAGTAATAAGCAGAGGTGTATGCAGTAGAGGGTGACACTAGTATACACTGTAGCCATCATCTATCCGTGGCAGTAGTGTTAATAGGGGAGTTCTAACTCAGGTCCTCTGAGGGGAGGTGAGGGACGGGAGGTCCCGCGCGGGCGAGGGGGCATGACGTCACGCGGGCGGAGGGGGATTTTGGTGGTGTGGGGGAATGACGTCACGCGGGCGGGGGAGCTTATCACGGGAGCATAATCAGCGCGGTGTATTACAAAGGGCGGGTGTCGATGTCCGACTGCTCGAATTTATAAACATTATAAACAAATATCGTCTCGCACTATTGCACGTGCAGCATTATTGAATTTCGTAGATATTACAAATGGCTAGCGCCGATGTCCGGCTGCTATAATTTATTATAAACAAAATAGAACCCTTTTCCTACTCGCGAACACCTCGCGCTATTCTTCTCCCACAACCATAGAATGCTATCCTTTTCCTACTCGCGAACGCCTCGCGCTATCCTTCTCCCACCCGGTCGCGCCGCAGTTACATATCTATCTTATATGCGAGGAAGGGTAGCGAAATAATCATTTTGTTCATTTCAATTGTTAAATCGTTAATCCATATTGGTGTATGATTGGGCGTTTGCACAAGTCGTTCAACGTCCGCTCGTTTCAGCATTAACGATTCCCATGTGTCGATAGATAATACCTCGGTTATCGCCGAGATGCAATTCCACATAAGATGTTATTCCAACGCTGATTCCAATATCTAAGTATTTATAAGCAGTACGCGTCAAAGCAAATCTGCGTACCAAAATACGTGGTATACAACGAGGTTTATCGCATCTGAAAAAATACAAAAAATATAAAATAGCATGGAAAAAACATATATGAAAAAAAAAATATATATATATATATGTATGAAACATTTGTGATACTTACAAATCAAGTGGTTTCTTGTACGGTTTAATTTCATCTCGTGGTTTCTTGCACGGCTTAATTTCGTCTCGTGGAACGTAGTAATTCACGCGTTTGCAACCGTTGCTGGTGCTTCCTTCAGCGGAGTACATTTTGTCTCTCGGTTATGAGAAGTGGACCGTTGGTACTAGCAGTTGACACGACACTGATCGTATAAAAATTAATCGAATATACGTGACGCTTATTTTTCAAAAGCATGATGTGGTGGGAGATCAATGCTCTGAAAATTTAGGAGAAGGGGAAACGGTCAACGTATGATGCGATGGGAGATTATTGCTCTGAAAATTTTTGGAGAAGGGGAAATGGTCAACGTATGATGCGATGGGAGATTATTGCTCTGAAAATTTAGGAGAAGGGGAAACGGTCAACGTTAAAAAGAATTCTTAGAAACGACTCGCGAGGAAAAGAGTGGAGAGAATAAGAAATAAAAAACATTAAATACGTTTACACATTTTATTTATAAAAATATTGCAATTTTTTTTGGCGTTGCGACCACCAGCTAAATATTTTTAATACATTCTGTAATGCGCAATTCTTAACATGTTTTCCGCATCGTATAGTATTAGTAACATCTAGATTATTTAAAGATTCAATATCTTCGTAATCAGCATCCAAAGTCTCGATGATTAAATTTTCTCTCGCAAGATTCTCAAGCAAATCCACCAGCCATTCTCGTTTCTGGCATCCCTTGACGTACACGAGAGTCGACGTCTCGTCATCCTCTTCCGTACCAAGCACGGCCGATGTAATCAAGCATTTAGCCATGCTGTACGACACGTTTCCGACTTCCCATCGTAATCCATGGTGATTCGCGATCAGCCAGGAAGCACATGATTTGTCGGATTTTGTGAGGAGATTCCATGGTAGGGGGTATGTAAAAATGTAATGCGCCAGAACGGTCCCCTTTCTCAGCACCGCCACCTCCTTTACGACAAATTTCATCCCGACGAAGAATCCTTGTAGGTCCACAAACGTTGGTATGGACATAACGTTTTTCTTTTTATATCAGCACGTCGAGAAGAAGAAGAAGACTGCGATTGATCCTGATGCATTATTGGTTTTATCAATGCTCTGAAAATTTAGGAGAAGGGGAAATGGTCAACGTATGATGCGATGGGAGATTATTGCTCTGAAAATTTAGGAGAAGGGGAAACGGTCAACGTATGATGCGATGGGTTATTGCTCTGAAAATTTAGGAGAAGGGGAAACGGTCAACGTTAAAAAGAATTCTTAGAAACGACTCGCGAGGAAAGGAGTGGGGAGAATAAGAAATAAAAAACATTAAATACGTTTACAGATTTTATTTATAAAAATATTGCAATTTTTTTGGCGTTGCGACCACCAGCTAAATATTTTTAATACATTCTGTAATGCGCAATTCTTAACATGTTTTCCGCATCGTATAGTATTAGTAACATCTAGATTATTTAAAGATTCAATATCTTCGTAATCAGCATCCAAAGTCTCGATGATTAAATTTTCTCTCGCAAGATTCTCAAGCAAATCCACCAGCCATTCTCGTTTTTGGCATCCCTTGACGTACACGAGAGTCGACGTCTCGTCATCCTCTTCCGTACCAAGCACGGCCGATGTAATCAAGCGTTTAGCCATGCCGTACGGCACGTTTCCGTCTTCCCATCGTAATCCGTGGTGATTCGCGATCAGCCAGGAAGCACATGATTTGTCGAATTTTGTGAGGAGATTCCATGGTAGGGGGTATGTAAAAATGTAATGCGGCAGAACGGTCCCCTTTCTTAGCACCGCCACCTCTTTTACGACAAATTTCATCCCGACGAAGAATCCTTGTAGGTCCACGAACGTTGGTATGGACATAACGTTTTTTATATCAGCACGTCGAGAAGAAGAAGAAGACTGCGATTGATCCTGATGCATTATTGGTTAGCCGAAGCGCCGAGCTCACACGTACGCTGTTTGCGCTTGTGCGTGTTATCCCCTCCATCTCGATTGCATGTTGCTCGCGTCTCAATTCTGGCATCACTGGCGTCGACTGCTTTTATCTCTGTCAGACGTACGCGAGAATACCTAAACATCTGATACGCGATAACGCGAACCTGCTGATCCTGTTCAAACAGGATGGTACCAACCTGAAACACGTGTACAACGATCACGTGAATACCGACATGTCGTACGATGAATTTTGCGCGTTGTGTCGCGATTGTTGGCAGTGCAAGTACGGATTCGTAGTAATAGACAAGGACAGCTCGCTCAACGATGGTCAATACAGAAAAGGATTTAACGTGTTCGCGATACCGCAAAACGATTAGTCGTTGCCGATACTTCGTCGGGAGTGAAGCGTAAGAGAGAGAGAGAGATTGACATTTTCGCTTTTCCGCGATGGCTGCAATCGATAAGAACGAGGATATTCGCGAGCGCGAGAAGATTGCGAGGGCAATTGTGAAAACTAGCGAATCGATTCGCAAGAAACATCGCGCTTTGAAGACCGGTAAGATCGAGGAGGATATCGTGTTGGACAGGCGCTTTAGACCTCTCATCGAGCCGCTACAAAAGATCGTCGACAACTCTAGCTCGATCGCGGTGAAGAACGAGCCCGAGAGTAACACCGACGCGGGGATCGAAGCGTTATCCATCCCGAAGCGCGAGAAGGATGATGCGACACCGCAAAAGAGAAAACGATCCAATATCAGGTCGGATCGCTCACCGACACCGCATAAATCGAAACGATCGGACGCTGCACCGGATGTACCGCCGATAACTTCTACACCATCAGCGTCAATGAAAACCGTACAACCTACGATGTCCGAATTACTCGCGAACGAGGATGTTTTCGAAACCACGGACGACTCGCTCGTGACATCCGTCCGAAATCAGTTGCAAACGCTGAAGGGTCGAGAAACGTTGCAAGATCAGTTAGGTCCACTGGATCAAAGGTATATCTGGCCTGTTCTGAGCGGCGATCGAGAGAGTGGTATTGACACCGTGTACGGTGTTTATCTCGACAACGATGGAATGATGTTCGGTAATAAACATTTTGACGTGGACAACGCGGATAACATAATTATCGACGGCGTACGATACGCCGGCACACCTGGTCTTTACGAGTTGATCTTCAAGAAAGCCCCCGATGACGTCATCTATACGGAGGATGATATGCAAACGTACAAGAGTATGCTGTTGACGACGAGCGCGCATAAACGCAATCACGATGCGCACGGTCGATTACTGAGTAACAGGGGATACAAGTACAAAGAATTAATCGCAAAGCTGATACCGATCGAACCCAAGGGAAAAAATCTGGAAAGGGATTTATTCGTGCCTCGCGAAATAACGCTAACCGACAACAAAATCGACTACGTGCACTGGGACAATCCCAACGAGCTGGTGGATCGTTTACGATTGCTCGACGCTTCGCACTAAGTAGGCCACAACGGCCACGACAACGAGATTCTGTCGATCATCGAGGAACTTCGCGAAGCCGGCATTATTATAAATTAAACTGTGTCTCGACAAAACTAATCAATCGATCGATCGATGTCGCTCGCATCGATGATGCATATCAACAAATTTGGGATATCCGAGCAGAGCAAAGACGTGACGAACGCCATTTTGTACCGTTGATGGAGCGGATTAATGAGAAATTTCGTGCGCGATAACGCTCTGTGTTGCACTGTTACGGACTTTGACGCGAGGTCGCGCAAGATTCGCCGTGTAGCGCAACCTGAATACGATGGACGAGAATAAACGGTTATTGAATGGTTAAAAAATTAGAGATATAA